CTGCAAGCAGGGCTTCCAATGCCCGTTCCAGGGAACATTGAGCTGGTGAGCTGGCCTCCCATGGTGTCTGGCTTAGCTGCCCATTAGTCAGCCATGCAAGGCAGCTGGAGGTAGACCAGAGATAGATTTACTTGAAGGATCAAGAAAGGACAGAGGGATAAATGGGACTTGGCTTCCTGCCTACTCTTTATTTCCTGTCTTACACTCTCCACAACTCCAGCTCTCCATCCTTGCCACACAGCCCCAATCAGAGTTGTACCCCATTCCCACCATGTGCTGGGAAAGGGAGATGCAAGGTACAACTCTGCAGATCCCTGAACAGACAAGGCCAAGCCTCTTCCACAGCTGTTGAGACATCTTTAAGAAAGTAAATGTCCTTTTCTCTGTGTTGCAAATCCTCTCTGTTGAAAAATGCAAGGCTTCCATGCTCTTTTAGCAAGTCCTTCCAAGGACTGGCTGATGTTTCTTACTATACTGTGCCATTTTGAGGGCTCTTGAAATGCTGAAGCAAGCACTATGTTTCAGTGGAACAGTGACATTTATGAAGTTAGTGGATAGGACTTGTGTGTGTAATGGCAGAACTTTCTTAATCAGTAGCCCCAGGTTGGGAAAGCCATTTCCAAGAAAAAAAAAAGTAGTAGAAACTTACTGCTTCCAGGCTGGCAGCAAAAATAATTTACTGTGGGAAATCTAAGCTTAAAACCACTAAACCCCAGTAATTTCCATCCACTCTCTCTCTCACACACACTGATACATGGAAAGAGAACTTTCTGAATTAATTTCCTTAAATATGTAAGGCATCCTGATACCAAAAGTAACCTTCCTCGCCCAGGGAGGCTATAGCGGAATGTCCCACAGAAATGAATGCAGCTCTGAGCAGTTTCTGTTTTTCCAAACAGCTGGTGTGACCAAACTGAATCCAGCTTTAAACAGGAGGAGGGCATTGGCAAGATACTTTCAGTAACAAGGCCTTAAATCTTACTCTCTGTACGCAAGAGCTCTCATCTGCAAACCGTCTGGTTACACAATGCGGCTTTTTATGCTTTTCCAGCTTTCTCTTATGTAGAGCAGAGGTTGATTAAATCCATTCTGTGCTACGTTGTTGTATCAGACATGCAGTTACATCTGAGTGTCTCCCCTGTTTATAGAAATGAGTCAGGAAAATAACACTTTAAATACCCATGCTAGAACAGACACGCTAAAAATTGCTTAGGCAGAATGCTGTTAGAAATGTCTCACATATAAAAATAAAATTTATAAGTAAATAATTATAAAAATAAAATACTAAGACAGCCTTTAATAAAGCACATTTCTGAAGACCTGAATTCTAGTTCCATAGTCTGTATTTAATACAAAACTATTTCTTTTGCTCAGTGGCTGAGAGGAGAGCTGGATACCTGAGCCTGATTGCAGCCTGACAGTAATAGAGCTTTTTATATGTGGTTAGCGCAGGTTTCTTTTTTAATGAAGTTTTTGCAGACTGAGTGACACCAAATAATAGAAATATGTAAGCAGAAAAACATGCAATAAACACAGGGAATTGGAACATGGTGTTGTCAGCGGTTAGAGAACAAGATCTCTGCTAAAGCAATATTTAGAAAAACATGTTTGTAGCTATAATAGCTGTAACTGGAAAGCACCACGCACGGGATTTGTGCTGTGCAGAGAGTGCCACCCTCTGCTTCTGAGGAGTAGGGAGCTTTTCTCTCTTATCTGACTCTTCCTCTTTTGCTACTGCAATTCCCACACACACAGAGCGAGTTACAAAAATACGCTGCTGGATCAGTAACTCTGCAAATGGTCTGTCATTCCCTGTTAATTGTAATTGTTAGCTCAGCTCTTTAATTTGGCATTATATGCCTTTTTTTTTTTTTTTTTTTTTTTTTTTTGTCAGACCAAAGATGAATAAATTTGCCTTCCCCTTTTAGGGGCAAGGCCCTGTGGGTTCCTGAAAGAGACAATTCCTATTAAGGCCTGAGAGAGCTTACTTGGAGAGAAGGCAGCAGGACAGCTCCTGCACGCAGCCTAGTTGCAGGGCGAAAGAATGCTGCGGCTGGCTGCGGTTAAAGGACTCGTTGTGGTACCTTCTGATTTTTACATTTGAAGAATAAGAGAGTGCTCTGTAAGAGGAACTTGAATAGACTTTGGGATAAGCCATGGGCTCTTTCTCTGCTGGAGACAGACTGCAGTTCACACAACCAAGCCTCCTGCAAGTTTACAGGAATCCCTGCACTTAACGGGCTCATTTGTGTTAGTGTTCAATAATTTTTCTGGCTTTTTAAACAACTACCACAACATTCCCCTGTTGTGCTAAACCTTGTGTTACCGGTGATAGATACCTTCCAGTGTGAAGGGTTCTCTTTCTTGTTCAGGCAGCCTGTTCATGCCCGCTGCAGCTTTGTGCCATGCTCGGGCCGTAGTCTCTGAAAGTGGTTCTTCCTGTAGATGGGGGGCTTGGTGCCATGTGGCAGACTAGTAAGGAGAAAAGAGATACTTTGGAGCTTTACCCAAGCAAGAAATTATTCTAGAGAGATGGGATCAAAGTCAAGAAGCAAACATAGACAAAGTCAAGAAGCAAACATAGACAAATACTCCAACTGAACGGCTACATCAGTGACTCAACAGTTCCTAATTTGAATGCTCTGCAGGAGGCAAAACTCCAACTTTTGACATTCTTAAAAGAAAATCAAAGCAACAGTTTGAAGGAAGATTAGGCATTCAAGTCTTGCTCACTATATTGTCCTCGACATCTTCTGTGGAAGAGTATCTGGTGAAGGTCACGACTAAAGAATTTGAAACATTCATACACAGGAATTCTCAGGGATTCTTCTCAAATCCCAGCAAAGGCTTGTCCTGTCCCTTTCACTCAACTCTCCTTCACCCATTCAAATCCCACATACGCTTTAGAAGCTCAATGCCAAACACGCGCATCCAGCCAAGAAGGTCAAACTTCTGTTCACATTGGTTCTGCACCATAGCCCGATGGCCCACTTGTACAAGCATCTGGCTCAGGCAGCGGAACAGCAGGGGGCTGCTGTTCTCTGAATCTAAATATACTTTCTCCAGATACTTGTGCTGATCCCTTACTGAGCCTGTGTGAATTTGGGAGCAGTAAAAGGTGTTCCATTCAGTAGAGTCTCTTAAGATTGCGCTGAGGCCCACCCTACGCAGTCCTTCTTGACGAAGCTCATTTAGTCCCTCTCTCTGATCATCTCTGAGGCCTTGCTCGCCTCTCTCAGATCCATGCATTTGCCCTTGAAGATAGCCTTCTTCCTTGCATTAGTCTGTAATGTTCTCTTCCAGATCATGCCTCGAGGGCTACCTCTTCGAAATGTGCACAGAAAAACACCCAGTTACTGGCATTAGCAATGCGCCAGGAGCTCGGTTAACAGGTTTGCAATTTAAATAATTTAGACTCGCTAATGGTTTGGGTTTAACTATCTTCCTGACCTGTTGGACAGCCCCATTCTTCCTAGAGAAACAGCTTGGTGGGTTCATCTTCATATGAAAGATAATATGGACAGGTTGATAAAAGAAAAGAGGAGTATCTGGAAAAGTGGACAAAGTATGTTTACCCTGCAATTATACTTAGGGTGACAGTATGATGTTAGAAGGTGTTTTTATTATGAAAATAAAAATCTTCAACAGTTTTAGGGGGGGGGGGGGACCTTTCAGAGAGACGTCTGGTTTTCCACACCCATTTACTAAGCAATATTCTGATCCACACAGAGACTCTAGCAACATTAGGAATAAAATCTACCCAATGAGTGAATTCCCCAGCAGTTCCCAATCCGTCCCAGTGTAACAAGATAAGTTGCTATACTAATGGAAAAAAAATCTAGACAAGTGAAAACCACCAACACAAGCGTAGGAGGAAAGAGTTGTGTGAAACAGCACTCGGATGCAGCGGTTCCCAGCGCCCCAGAGGACTTCTGGGATGCTCAACGCCAGAAAGCTGCTGAAAACTTTCAGGATTGATTTAGGAGGAAAGGGCCATCGGGAATGCTGGAAACACGACATCCACAGGACAGGCCATTGAACTCCCCCGGCTCTAATCCAGTAAATGGTAACACTAATGCAGGAACGTGAATGAGCCAGACAAGGCTGCGCGGGGCGCGTAGCTTTTATACACAGCTGTAATTCTAATTGATGCAG